GAGTGTGAGTTGTAGAGTTTTCGGTTAGCTAGAAAACCGAGTGTGTAGAAGAAGTTCCGGCTTCCAAACCGGATTGTGTTAGTGGATTTCTCCCCGGGAGTAGGGAGCAGAGACGTAGGACGGAAGGTCCGAACTCCGTGATCATATTGATTGTTTGAGTGTGCTTTGGCGTTCATTCATATTTATGTTCATATCTTATATCGCTATTGTGCATTGCTCATTTCTATATCATCCACTATCTTGTTTAGATTGTTTACCCTTGTATTGTTTATATATCCTTGCACATATATTGCCTATATCTCTTTATTAGGATATATATTGTTGTTCATACTGCTTATCCTAGCTTACAAATATTGTTGTATTTCATACTTGCTAGGATAACTTATTAATTAGTTTTAATTGGCATTTAATCGGATTAGATTAGCATAAGACCCTAATCACCCCCCTCTAGGGTCTAACAAAAACTCCCCCCTCCTTGCCCCGTGGACGTAGGCATCTTGCCGAACCACGTAAAACTGGTGTTTGATTGTTTATGCTATTGATTTTGGTTGGTTCTTTATCTTTATCGGCGATTGTTTTGGTTTCTCGAAGCGCAACAATTGGTATCAGAGCTCCGGGCTACGCTTGGGCTATTTTGGAGGAGTAGATCGCTTTGGAAGTTCATCTAGGGCTTCGTTTGGTGATAAAGGTGGGATCTTTTCAGTAAAAATCTCATCTTTTTCAATTTGGATCTATTTCTCGTTTGTTTCCGCATTGGTTTGGTGGTGCTTTGAGATATATGGCTGAAAAAGATAAAAGTGGGGAGGGTTCTTCTGGTGTGAAGGCCGTCCAAAGTTTGAATATACATTCTATGAAAATAGATGTGGAAAAGTTCAACGGCACAAATAATTTTGGACTTTGGCGATGCGAAGTCATGGATGCGCTAAATGCGTAAAATTTGGAAGATACATTGGAGTTGGACGGGAAACCGGCCGATGTTGATGAAAAGGTTTGGAATAAGATGAATAGAACGGCGTGTGGTGTGATTAGGTCTTGACTTACCCAAGACCTTAAATATGATGTGATGAATGAAACTTCGGCAAAGAAGATTTGGGAGGTCCTAGAGGGCAAATATTTGACTTGCATTTGAAGAGGAGGCTTTATCGCTTCCAATTGAAGAAGGGGACATCTATTAGTGATCACATGAACCACTACACGAAGCTACTTGCAGATTTGGCGAATGTAGATGTCATTGTTGAAGACGAGGACAAGGCATTGTTGTTATTGAGTTCCTTGCCCGACGAGGAATATGAGACCTTCGTCCTCACTCTTATTAATGGGAAGGAATCTATTTCGTATAGTGAGGTCACCGTAGCCCTTGTGAATTATCAACTTCGAAAGAAGGACAAGGAGACTTCCATCGAGCCGGTTGCGGGGGCATTGGTTGCAAGAGCTAAAAGTCCAAACCGTGGAAGAAGGTCGCAGTCTAGAGGGGGGCATCCTGCAGTTGGTAGGAATCAGTGTGCCTTTTGTAGAGAGGATGGACATTGGAAAACCGAATGCCCAAAATTGCAAGCCGTGAAGAATAAGGGAAAGCTATTCAAGCTTCAGAGGTAAATGTTGCCAAGGCTAGTGGCGATGTTTCAGATTCAGATTCTTCGGGCTATTCATGCCCAGCTCTTCCATCAGTTGATGTTGCCGACTCCACCGAGTGGATGTTGGATTCTGGTGCTACTTACACATATGCCCTAGAAGGGATTGGTTCTCCAGCTTTCAGGAGTTGGAAAGAGGGGATGCTGTTCTCATGGGTAATGATCACAGATGCCCTATTGGTGGTATTGGTACTGTTCGGATTCGGATGAGTGACGGGATGATCCGGGAGTTGGCTGATGTGAGGTTCGTTCCTCAACTGAGGAAGAACATCATTTCACTTGGGGTATTAGAGGCATCAGGCTATAGGGTGACCTTGGCGGATTCTCACTTGAAGGTCACATCGGGGTCCATGATTGTGATGAAGGGAGTCAGACGGAGTAACTTGTATTATCTGCTTGGGAGCACGGTAGTTGATAGGGCGCTGACTACTTCTATGGCTAGACTGTGGCATTGTTTGGTGCTGGGATATATTATTGGTTATACCGTGCACAGATTGTTGAGGAGTGCTATGACCTGCAGATTGAAGTCCTGTGAGCACATTGGTATGAGCGAGAAGACCGAGGTGGAGTTCAGCACTTCTATACATCGATCGAGGGGTCTTATTGGAGGTGTTCAGTCAGGCATTGGGGGGCTTTCCGAGGAGGCATCATCGGGAGGTAATCGTTATTTTGTTTCCTATGTTAGGGATTGTACTAGGTATATTTGGGTTGCAACCAAGTCTCGTTGGTATAAAGACCTAGTAGTCCGCAACAGTTGGAGGAGGTGTATGGGCAGAAAGGTTACCGGTCATACTTATTCTAGTAGGAGTCCTTTCTTGCATTGGTGCCGAGCTCATGGCAGTTGGAGACACTTCAGAGTAGAGGAGATAGTGGGGCGACGTGATGAGATGGCAGATTTAGTGGGCCGTTCTTTTCTGGAGGAGGATTGGTGTTGGTTGTCGAGCAGTGGATCTGGTATTCGGGCTTCGACACGATTGGGCTATCTTATGAGGTTACCGACTGCTGTGTATAGAGTTGTTAGATCTGGTGGAGCTGCTTCAGTTTTTGGTCGGCGTCGGATATTTGGCTACCCAGCACTTGGTCACATCATTGATGTGAGGTTGGATCCGATTGCGCAGTTAGGATTCAGGAGTTCATTCGGCTATCAGTTGGGAGCTTCTGAGTTTGGTCTGGGCAGGTTTGTCACTTTGGACTCTCGGCAGGTGGAGAGTATTGATCAGGTCAGAGGGATATCGCAGCAGGTGGAGGTTGATGCTACTCCACATTGGGTGGGGATTTCCCTACGTACTCCAGGTCATTCTGCATTGGTTGGGATTCCAGCTGAGGTGGCACAGCATGTGAGTCATTTATTTATGGATGCAGATGATGAGGTGGTTGATTTGGATGCAGCTGGTGGATATGTTTTGGATACGACCATTGTTACATCTCAGGTGGAAGTATTGGACTGTTTTCAGTTTGGGGTCGTTGATGCTATCAGCCGCAGGATGGATTGAGGGCCTTTGGAGGCCCATATGGTGAACTACGTGAAGGCTTGATTCCTTGGGCAAGAGGATACATAGGCAGTCTTTATGATGCAGCCGATTTGGTGAACTACGTGAAGGCTTGATTCCTTGGGCAAGAGGATACGTTGGCAGTCTTTATGATGCAACCGATTTGGTGAGCGACATCGACATTTGGGGTGAGTGTTCGCACTCCCATTTGGGTCTCAGCAAGTGAGGCATTTGGTGTAGTCGGTGTAGGCTCAGTTGTTTGATGAGTAGACACAGTTGGTTTGGGGTTGAGTGTTCGCACTCCCGTTTGGATCTCGACGTGTTGTGATTGGAGTCCGTTGTCATGAGTCCGTTGCCAGTGCACAGGAGTTTCTGGGCATCAGGATTGGTGGCGGTCGACCGACACAGTCGACCGAAGATGGTAGCGGTCGACCGACGCGGTCGACCGCCGAACTCTCTGGATTCTTGGAGCTGTTCTGGATGGAGGGCGGTCGACCGGGCCGGTCGACCGCGATGGATCGCGGTCGACCGTACCGGTCGAGCGCCGCTGCGGTTTTGAGTTGGGCTTGTTTTCAGACCCGTTTCGTTTTGGATTTGTATAAATACCCTTTGGGTATTTTTTAGGGTTAAGAGCAAGGACGAATTTGAGCAGATTGAGAGAGTTTTCTTTGGGCTTCTATTCTAGGAGCAATTGGAGAGATTGAGAGTTGATTGTTGAGGGTTTATGAGAGATTTGTAACCCTAGTTTGTTCCTCTTGATTTCTAATAGTGAAAACTCCCCCCTCCTTGCCCCGTGGACGTAGGCATCTTGCCGAACCACGTAAAACTGGTGTTTGATTGTTTGTGCTATTGATTTTGGTTGGTTCTTTATCTTTCTCGGCGATTGTTTTGGTTTCTCGAGGTGCAACACTGTTTAGTACACTCTTAAAAATACTAAATTCAAAACTTAAACATGGAGGGAAATTTTATATGAAGAACAATTCAACTAAGCACTAAACACATCAAAATCAATTGTACCCTCTCCCTCCAATAATACTTTCCTCTCCAAACCCCTTCAACAAATTCTCAAACCTTTCGGCAATCCCTTGTGGTACCGAAACAAGCACAGTAAATGCATGAAAATCCTCGATAACGGGCAAAAATAAACAATATATCTCGCTCGCCAACGGTCCCATATGTAACGGTCTTCCCTCGCCGAAATCCAAATCCTCTAACCCTAGCTTCGACCATTGTGATATCACCAACGTCGTTGACAAGTCTGGCTTCATCCTTGTCTCCTCTAACAAATCAATCACGGATCGAACATGTCCATCGTTTATCCTCTCTTTTGCTTGTTGGACTAGTTTTACGCTGTAATGCAAGTTGGACCTGGTCAACCGGTCAACTGAAGCCTCTGCACACCCGAGTACAAACCCGTTACCGTAATAACCTCTAGGAAGCTCGGGGTTTATTTTTTTACGGGCGTTTACTGAGAATAGGAGCTTGACGTTGAGGGCGGACGGTAGGTCCATCGTTCGGACCCAGGTTCGCCAAACATGGGAAGCTAGGACCTCAAAGGAGGTGCATTTGGATGAAGGAATGCATAACTTTTTTAGACAGAGAATATGAGAGCGGGTGAAGGTAACCGATACGGGAAGTAGGGTTTGAGATTGGAGCAATTGCGGAAGGAGATTGTATGTGGGCTCATGTGTGGGAGGAACGACGTTGAATTCGGGGTGGGAGGAGGCAATGCGAGGAGGTGTTTGGGGTTTTAGCATGTGGCGGCTGTGGATAAGGGGTGATGGAGGTCAGGAGTAGGCTTTGCTGGTGAAATTTGTGCCCATCGCTATGAGAATTGGAAGTTCCATATACGTCACAAAGACCAATGGTTGATCACCGTAATCACTAGGATCATGCCCCGCAGTTCAGATGAATTACTGAAAGAGACAATGAAAGAGTTCAGTTTGGAGAGATATGACTCGCACTGCAATAGAAATTTTTAAAGTTATAATTCTATATTCTAACACACGCAGCAACAATATATAATATATAATCATATATATATCATATATATATATATATATAATATATATATATATATATATATATAATATATATATATATATATATATATATATATATATATATATATATATATTTATATATATATAAACTGGTAATGAATGATTTGTGACTGATGTCATTCTAAACTCGTCAATACTCGAGGCCTTAACTGACCAATTTGGGCATGTGGTAGGAATTGTTTTTCACTTCAATCATTAAGCAAAGTTTTATCTTCACTTTTTACGTCTTCTCGGTGCACAAAATGTTGGAAAGTGCTTAAATGATAAACACATGCTTGACTCCAATGGGCCAACAGAAAGATTGCCATTGTGGATGAGAGAAGTGGGTAGGCCACAATGAGAGACAGTGGTGATGGTGGAAATCTATCCAACTCCTTAAATGATTGTTCCTTGTAGGAAAGTTTTAGGGGTCATTTTCATGAAAGGTACATGTACAAGATTTAAGTCCTTGCTAAATAGAGCAAGTACTAGGTGAATTATCTTTACACAAAAAAGAATTTCAAGTAATACATAAAATAGTAAAAGAGAGTATTTGGGGAAATGGAAATATCTCTGGTCATAGTACAACGAAAATTGGGATCTCATAGTCATAGGAAAGCTTCCTTAATAGCAACATGCTCATGTATGCCATCAAATACTTTCCATATTTATTGAGGTCCTCGTTTTACCAACAAACTAATGATTTAGAAAAACTGTAAGATAAAATATATAAATTACATTGAGATAGAGAGAGACCATAACAGAATTCAACGAGATCGAAGAAAACATGAAAAAGAAAAGGGAAAGGGGAAGGGGGGAAAAAAAAGCAAACACACCCCAAACTTCTCTCACTATTCACAAATATTCCCAATGTCTAGCTACATTTAACACCAAACTCATCTTTCACAGGAACAAATCCAAAAACCCAAACATTGAGCAACAATAAAATTGCAACAACAAAATAAGAACCAAGAAACAAACTTTATTAAATAGAAAAGGAGAAGGGAGGGGGCCGGAAAAAAGAAAGAAAGAAAGAAATTAAAAAGACAAGCTAACTCACTTGGATGACAAGAGGAGGAACACCCAAGAACCCTTGACCCTCCATCCTATAGAGAAGCTTCCTCCAAGACCTATTAGGAAGTCTAGAACCTTCTAGAAACTCCTCTGCACTAAGATCAAGGTACCCCTCTGCAAACAAAGCTCCCTCTCCATTACACTCAACCTCAAGCTTGCCCTCATAAGCACTACTAGCCCTTACTCTGCCAGCCAAAGGGTAATAATCAACAAGGACTCTTGAGAGAGAGTTCTTTAACTTCTCAACACAAGTTGATCTTTTGTAGACATAAAGATATCTAATGGAGAACCTTAAGAAGGGTTGGTCGTCAAGATTTGAGAGGTATAGCGTGTATCTTGGTGTCGTTTTGCTTGGGGTTATGAGAAGTGCTTCTCTTGGGTAGATGCAATCTTGAATCTCTACGGACTTTGTCATGGTTGAGAGGGGTTGAGGGCAACAAGGAGGAAGAAAGGGAGAGGTGAGGGATTTATATAGGAGAGGGAATAAAGGGAGAGCAATGAGCTGGGAGAGGTAGAGAGGTAGAAAGATAAGATAAAATGAGAGAGTTATCATGATGTTCTTTTATTATTATATATGATTTTCACATTGTGATCCTCTTCACAGAAGCAAGACAATGAACATTCCGTATGGTCAAATGCAATTAAATGTCCGTCATTTAGTATAGTGTCATGATAAGATGAATACATCAAGTTAAACGGTTTCTTCTATTGCACCGAAATTACTGTGTCGGGAGATAGAAAGAATTTTGGGTTAATTGAGAGTAGAAGCCTGTACTATCCCCTATTGGTTAGACTCCCTCTTAGTTTTAGTAGTGCTGATAGACCCCTCGAGTGATGTTTTGTATGTTAAGTTACCATATTAGTGTATTTTGCTAACCCACAACTTGTATATTTTCTTATTACGGTGACGTTAACGTATATAAAGTGAGGCGCAGTGATAACAAGGCCTATTATTTTAGCCGGAGCAAACGTTCTTGCGAGATCACCTAATATGACTAGTTAGTGCATCTTGTGGCTTAATTGAGCTTATTTGGTGATTGTTAACCTAGATGTTAATTAACAGTTATGAAAAAATCCCCAAAATTTTCCCCTTTCTCTCATTTTCCTCTATTCTTTGTTCATGTGAGGGAGAGAACGATTCTTCCCTAAATTGTAGAGATTCCATAACCCATTTCAATTGTCCTGACCCAATTTTAGCCATAGAAGGAAGAAGAAAAACTTTATAACAATACAAAAAAGTTTTGTAGAGGCAGTTGGACCCCTGACGATCCTATTGGTAGGTGTAGGACCCTCAATTACTATTTGTTTTTTTCTCTTAAAATAGTCAAAGAAAAAT